TTTTTTGAAAAACTTTGGGGGGCGGCTGCCCCTAACTCCCCTCCCAATAACGTCTGTCTGTCGTAATAGAATCTGGAGAAAATTCATGATTTTGGATTCTTATGCACCTTCCACTCCTCATGCGTAGACTGAATGGATCATCCGATTGATGGCATTATTCTTTTCTTTGCAATTGTGTGGAATTTAGCGGGACGTGTACTGTAGGGCATGTGATAATCTGGACGTAATGTAATGGTCCCGACTCATTCTTGTCAAACGTCTATCCTAATACCACTATTTGGTTCTGCTGCCATAAAAAATGCAGCGCCCGAATGCAAAAGGAAATCAGCTTGACCACAATAGCGACTCCAATATTCAACAAATGAAGAGATGGGGTGAAAAATCCTGCCTTGAATCTTCAAGATGACGATGGATTACGCGATGACGTTGTGTGAATTTGCATATTTTCTTTTCGTTTAGTTGGACTGAGCAAAGGACTTTTTTGACTCCCTGCTGACATAAATATTATGGTAGAATGAACTTTCTTCCGTTGAAACTTGAAAGTATCGCTTGAGAACATACCATTATTTCACTTTCCTTTCTTTCTTTTCTTCTTCTGTGATCCTTCTAGAGGAATCGAACATAAACTGAGCACGCTAATATATTTATGATGCAAACGAAATATTATTTAAAAAATTTACTATTCTCCTAAAGTGAACACGTTGATTTTTTTTTTTTTTTTTTTTTAAGACGGCAACATCTGACCACGTTGATATTTTTTTTCTAACATTTTCTTATGGAAGTAAGAAGTCGTTTAACTAAGCGTAGTCCTCGAACAATCTTCAAAAGCCGGCAACTTTTGAAGACGTCCGAGGCACTTAACTACCCAACCCATTCCCCCCCCCCCAGTATCGATGTGGGATAGAAACCCCGACAAGGGCAAGCCCAATAGAACAGCATTGAACACTAAAGAGCACCCTTACCAACCCCAGAAGACGCCCCATAAAGAGTTTTAGCTAAGCGAAGGGGTAGGGGCGTGAAGAGGGTTTGCAATTGCACAGCAATGTTGGATTTGAGTCATTATATGTACTTTGATTTAGTTGAGCTAAACCCCCACCCTTTTTTTTTTTTTTTTTACTCAACTGTTCTAGAAAGCAGGATCGAGCTCGGCGGAATCAATTGACCTGCAGAAATACCCTCTTTTTTTTTTTTGTTGGGATTGAATTTAGATTGCAGGAGTTGAGTTGGAAATATTCCACGCATTATTCCAAATAATATTTCGCTTGCATCATAAACACATTTTCCAACCCACCTTTTTATGTTTCCAATCAACTTTTTATCTCACATACATCATATCACAAAAAATACTACAGTAATTATTCCAAATAATATTTCAAATAATACCCTATCCAAACAACCACAAATATTGATGTTGCAGGGCAGGAGGAGCCAGGGTTAGGATTATGAATAAAGCAACCACAAACTAATACAGTTGGTCTGGCAATTAGTCCCATATGTGATTTGTAATTTATGTATGCACAGTAGCCAATGGATAGCATCTTTGAAAGTTAAAGTTAAACGCTTTGAGTCATGAGTTGTGCCTAACCACCAACCCCCCGCAGTATTGGTACTAGTACTAGATCAGTATTTTTTCTTTTTTCTTTTTTTTTTGACATCTGACCTTTTTTTTCCGTTTGTATTGGTGGTTGGTTAATCAGTCCCCGCCAATAATTATCATGAATGATTACAACATCCAAATTAAAAAAGATATGATATGAAGCATATCATATTAGTATTAAAATACACGACATAACCTAAGTTTCCAATCGCTTTCATCACCAGGACTAACTAATTAAAACCTTGATTAATTTTTATGTGCTAGTTAGGCACACAAGTTAGATTAGTTGAGAAACCGATCGATCAAACCAGTTAAGCACGTTCGTTAATTATGTCAAGCTCGAGTCCTAACACGTCTTCTTGTAATTAAACTTAATAAATTAAGTGCCTTTACGCATTTGAAAGAAGAAAGGGCACCATTAATTACCATTTTTTGGTTTTTCCTTGTAGCATTCTTTTTCAGTCTCTCTCTATTATTATATGTGAATGGAATTATGGAACCAACCCCACACTAAGCATGCATTCATTTGTATCAATAGAAGGTCTTAACGTTCGGTAATGAACACAAGGAACTGGACTCCATATCTAAGAAGTTATGGTGGTATTATTTTCTATCTGGAATTAATATTTCTATGCACCTTGATGGATATTTACAATTCTTTCTTTCAATTAACCAACAATTTTTTAAAAGTGATAATTTCATTCACAAACTAAATTACTAATATGTCAGTCAATTTTGTTAAGCAAAGCTTTAAATGAATTTTCTAGAAGGAGTTGATGAGAATGGACGCAATTGATTTAGTCAAATTTAGAATCAACCATTACGAAACCTTAAAAACAAAAAACCAAAAAAAAAAAAAAGATTTGTTTGATATTTCTTATCAACTAAACGAACGAGAAGACAACGAAGAAACTTTCACCTAAAAGATCGAAAATCGAAATCCATATTACCATTGCTAGTAGACTATCAAACAAAACGCGCCTGAGTTTTTTGCCAGATTTGTCAGTTACAAGTTTTTTAAAAACTTTAGTTACAGTAATCTCAAAAATTTTATACACTTCAAAATATTTAAAAATTTACACACTTCAAAAATTTTTTAAAAATTTATATAGTAAGTTACAGTAAAGTTTTAGACAAACGCCTAAAAAATTCATTTCACAAACAGGGCCATAGTTTGAAATAAGAGAGGTGTTACTCTGCTCTACAACCAACGACCAATTAGAAGGAATTGAAAGTTCTTCTAGAAAGTTGAAGATTTTTCCATGACTAAATTGACAATCGGTAACGGTATGAGGTAGAACTGTTTTTCTTATGATTTGTGGTGTGCGTGTTGAAACTTTTGTAAGTGTGATTGTAGAATCACATATTCTTCAATGGCCTGAATAGATTTTATCTGTATTTTCAAGATTCATTGTAGTCCACCAATTTGTGATTATTTTCAATGAATGGCAGATGATCATAACCAGTGGCCAACACGGCTTCGTGTTGCTCTTGTTCGAGCCAGGTCAAGCAAAGGAATTTAGTGCCAAAAACAAACAAAATAAAGTGATTTTTTTTTTTTTTTTTAAAAGAGAGAGAGAGAGAGAGCCTTAAGCTAAGACATGAATATTCGGGGATTTCCGGTATGGGTCATTTAATGAAATGAATATCGTCCAGTTACCACCCAAAACAAAAAAAAAAAAAAAAAGAACATCCATACGCCAAAATTATTGGTAAATGGTCACTACAATATACTATTCGGTATTGTTAAGCAAACATAAATAAGTTTAGTACAAATAGATGCTAGTTTTCGTTTCAAAATTCGTGGATTATTAGTTGGTTAATGATTGTAATGTTATTAAATATAATTTGTATATATTAATTCCACCATTGTGGACTGATTATAATCATATGAAAATTTTACAAAAAAACAAACACAACAAGGTTTCTCGGTTATTGGAGATTACCTTGACTGTCTATGGCCACCAACAATTAATTCCCTCTGTCCGATTTAATTCTCTGGCTAGGACAGTTCACCTTTCTTAGTTAGACTGCCCTTTTTTTCCCCCTTTTGTAAGGCTCATTTCTCATTTATTTTTTTTTATCAAGTGTAAACTTCAATTTTTTTAATTTATTTTTATAAGTGAAAGACGTTGAATTAAGAACCTCTTATTTATAATATTTTTTATCTTATCATCTAGTCCAATCCTTTGCGATCAACAACTTCAAGTTTCCTTCCTACCCAATCCAAACCCTTCCCGGCCTTGGGCCTTGTTTGAATTGCAGTTTTTTGTTGAAAAATTACATTGTTTTTCGTGATCACATTTCCCTATTACCTTTTTCCCTCACATACATCAAATCGATACAGTAATTTTTTCATGAAAAATCATGGAAAATGCAATCCAAACACAACCCAAGTTTCACCTCCTAGCAAAACTCAAACAATTATTCAAGTTCTTCTCAATAGTTATACAAGAAACCTCCAAAAACACCAAGCACCACATCTTGAAAATAGTTCAAGATATGGATTGGAAACGTCAATTTTGGCGACATAACGTAATCGAGGACTGCGGAGATGTCAGTCATGGTGGAAAAAATTTGGCTTTCACAATATAATAATATATAACAATACAGGCAGATTATGCTACATTACACTACAAGAGGAAAAAGATTCACCTGAGCGCAAGTGGGAGCACCATGGTCCAGCATCAATGTACTCCGATCCTCGAGAAGCAACAAATGGCAAGGTCGACCACCCCGGCCTCTAAAGTAAAATTAATTATAGGGATAATTTCAAAAAACCTCCCCGGAGATTTCTAACAATTTCACTGAGCTCCCCTAAAATTTTAAAAATTACACTTATATCCCTTAATTTAATAGTTTTAATAATAAAACCTTAAATAATATTGACTTGATCAATTTTTTAAATGAATACCCAAAAAATGCACGGGTCTTCTATTCTTTCTCCAGGAACCGGATCTAGCGGGTCCTAGATCCGGGTCGGACCTACCCGAAAAAATTATATATTTTTAAAATAATAGTTAGAGAAGTAAATTTGGAATATTATGTTAATAAATATATACTTTTAAATTATTAATCAATTTTTATTGGGATTCGGGTCGAATACAGGTAAAAAATATCATATTTCGTATCCGATTATTTTTGTTTGACAAAACGAATCCTGATCCGGGTCCCGAAATTATATTCCTATCCGTACCCTAAATAATTTGACGGATCCGGTCCGGATTCGACAGACCGTTGACAGGTCTAATGCCAAATAAGAGAATTTCATTAAAATATTTAAGAATAAAATTATTATTTTAAATAATAAGGGAGGTACCTGTAATTTTTAAAATTTCAGGAGAGCTCAACGAGGTTTCTGAAATTATCTTTCAGTGTCAGAAACGTCGTCCAAACAAAGTGCTCCTATATACAACTCCCTTGGCCACATCAATCAGTCACCAGATTTAATTGCAAAAAATGAACACCAAGGTTTGCGTCACGGGAGCTACAGGCTATCTCGGTTCTGCCCTCGTTCACAAGTTGCTGGAAAAAGGTTATGCCGTCCATGCTACTCTCCGGAATTTAGGTAGGTAACCTGCCATGCCAATCTTTACTTCTTGGTCTCTCTCTGTCTTTCTTTCTATCACTTACACACTGCCTAAGTAATGAGGAGATGGCTGAGCAATTAGAGCTATGAGGGTCGAAGTACTGGCGGGCTTTGTTATACATTGACAGGCTAATTAAGCAAGAAGGGTTTCGTTTTAACAGCTAAATACTTGTATGTGATGATCTAGGAAAAAAGTTAAGATAGTAGTGCACATGTACGTGCAGGTGATGCATCAAAGACAGGGCTGCTCAAAGCTCTTCCCCACGCAGACACAAGACTCTTATTGTTTCAGGCAGATATCTACAATCCTGATGAGTTTGGTCCTGCTATTCAAGGCTGCCAGGTGGTTTTCCACGTTGCCACTCCCTTGCAGCACGACGCCTCCAGCTCTCAGGTTCCAATTCTCGAACCGTTAGAGAAGAAAAAAAATGGGAAAAAAAACTATAATGTTGCTGCTGGGTTAATGATGCTTTCTTTCTAAATTAACGAAGCTAAAATGGAATTTCCCTACAGCAATATAAAGAAATTCTCCTCCCTGGAACGATTTGTGGAGGATATTGTTTTGATTTCACGAGGAGAAGAACCAAAACTAGTTTCATTGATGCCTCAGATGTATGCTATTCAAATACACAGATTCAGCGATGCCTCTTGAAAAAGTACCCATTTAATAGGCACCCTTTTAGGGAATACACACATATCTTCTTAAGATTCAACCAAAATGGCCCAAAGTGCCGATTTATTGACTTTTGAATATAATCTATTGCGACAGTCAAAAGAAGACAAATGCGCATGACACTCTGCACTTTTCCTCCAAAAGTTTCCCACAAAAGAAATTCAACTGAGTTGGTGTAAAGCTTTAATTTATGTCTTTTGATCTTCTACAAACTTTCCAATTTGGGATTCCAACCAATACACCGCCAACGACACTCACAATACATAGCATTAACTACCCCACTAGATGGTGTATTATGTGGGCGTGTTTGGATAGAAGATTATTTGGGATTTTTTTTTTTGAAAAAAATATTATAACATTTTTTGATGTGACATATGTGAGATAAAAAATTGATTCAAAAACATGCTGATGCGATGAGCAAATAAAAGGACGAAAAATTATTAGTATTATTATGCTCGTGTGACTTACATTACATGTCTATCAAGTACAGCTGAAAGTTTGCATCGGCACTGTAGTGTGGTGGACGATTAGTATATAGTATTAACTATAGGAAGAATGCAGAAATGGCGTGCATGATGAACTTATAATTTGGGAGTCGATTTTGAGGACCTAAGGAGATCGAGTTTAAGGTGCCTGGAACCAATTTTTGGGACTTAAATTTCGATTGATTTGAGGTGCATTACGGCAGCATATTTAAACTGGTTGGATTAATTGTTCTGTGACCCTATCAAGTGTACAATGATTACGCATGCAGTATAAGAATACTTGTGAGGCAGCTGTTGCTGGGGTGAAGGCCATTGTTGCATCCTGCATCAAATCAGGAACTGTGAAGCAACTCATCTACACTGCCTCTGTTGTAGCATCATCAGCATTGAAGGATGATGGATCAGGCTACAAGGACACAATCGATGAATCCTGCTGGACTCCTCTCAATGTCTCCTATAGATGCGCCACAGATTTATTAACTGTATGTAGTAGGTCTATCCTCATTCTTACTCAGATTGCACTGCTTTAGTAAAGTATGTCTGGATCATTAGTTTCAATCTAATCTCTCATGATAACAAGCCTAATGCCTTATTCTCGTTTGCATTAAAATTAATTTTTTTGTCAAAATTAATGTGGAAACTGATTATATAGAACAATTAGCATCAACCTAAGTTAAAGTTACCCTCTGCTTGATCCTAAATTTTAACTTCTTTGGCCTATTAAAAAAAAATCTACAAAAAAAACAAGCCAAATATAGGGCCATATGATGTTATTGATATTTCACTTCGTCAAATCTTTTTATTTCTCGGCACTGCGGCAGGCATATGTACGGTCAAAGACATTGGCCGAAAAAGAAGTGCTGAGATACAACGATGAGAAGAAATTAGAGGTGGTGAGTCTTGTTTGTGGACTCGTTGGAGGATACAAATTTCAATCCTTGATAGGCGAAAGCATGAGAGTGCTAGTATCCCAAGCTACCAAAGACAAGATGAGGTATCAATCTCTCAGGTGTTTGGAGGAAGTGATTGGAAAAATTCCAGTTTTGCACATTGAAGATGTTATTGATGCCCATATCTTCTGCGTGGAAAACCCGGGCTTCACAGGCAGATTTCTATGTGCTTCTGATCTTCTAAAATCAGAGGAGATTGCAACGTTGATTCAAAGTTGTTGCTCAGAAAGCAAAATTCCCGATGAGTAAGGCTTACCTTTAACTACTTTTATAAATTATGTTGATGTGCCTTATAGTTTTAGAGTCTCTCGTGGGTCTTTGAAATCAAACTTTTTTTTCTTTTTCGATCAAAAAGGCCATTCAACTCCGCCTTTAGTGTCATATCGACCAATTTAACCAATCTAAAAAAAGCATAGTTTGTAACCCTTGGCCCAAATAACTTTTAAGCAAAATCTGCAGGCACAAAATGGTTAACCCAAGCTGTTCAGTAGTCTTTGGACCCAAGCTTATGAAGACAAAAGAACAAGCATCACATATTTGACCTACTCTTACAGGTTTTCAGGAGCAAAAAAGTCCTAAAATATAGAGCATTTTTGGTTAATTTAGCAGAGAATGACACAAAAAAGCCTGTTTTAAGGAATTGCATGGCCTAATGTATTTTATTGGAAAGGCCATAATAGTCGTTGAAATTTAAGAGGGCAGAATCTTATCAGTATATTCCAACCGTCCTTTATTTCTGCTATACCTGCCCGGAGCAGTTTTTACTCAGCCCTGAACTGTTCTCTTCATGGTATGAGATGGGCAAAAATGCCAAGAAATGGATAAATGAACCAACAGAAGTTCATGCAGCCCAATCTGCCAAGAGGGTCTGCACCCAATAAACGTTCCAAGTGACTAAATGTTCCACTCAGTCCTCCAGCCAACTTTACTAGCTGTGATTGAGGAGTATAATGCTAAGGCAAAAGCTTGCATAGACCCGATCCACCATCTGAATATAGATCTCGTGGAGATAAATAAGACACGTCTCCTTTTTTTTGGCTTTACGATCTGCAGGCAAAAAAATGACTTGGCAAGTTTGTTTGTGGCCACACGATTTACAGCTAGCGTTGCTGGGGGACTGGGTCTATCCAAGTATTTGCCTAATGCAAATTGTGGGTGTGTGCGTGCGTGCTGGCAGACGAAGTACTTTTCTGACGCTAATACACTGTGGTTAACAATAATTTCTTGAATGGAATTAGACGTTCTGATTTTATCATTTTATTTCAGGTTCATTGAGGATTCGAATAGAGATATTAGATGGGGCTCCTCAAAGCTGGAGGAATTGGGCTTTCGCTACAAATATGACGCTAGGGTGACCCTAATTGACTCTCTTCAGTATTTCAGGGTTCCACGGGAGAGTTCCTAAAACACTACCATATAAGCATGTCATTTCTAGTAAGGTTGAGAAATCCCACCCAACAAGTAAGGTGAATTTTATGGTCCCTTTTGGGAACCATTTTATCAACTTGTATCTCTCATTAAAGATAAATGACCATTTAATAATGTTTAAACTAGAGGTCAATAGCACTTCTTTCACTATCTATCTGACGATGCGATGAATTTCACTTGCGGGTACGATACCAACCAAAAGGGACAGTAGAATCGCCCTAAAAGGAAAACCCTTTATTGTGTCAAATCTCAATAGATAACATAATAAAAATATGTTGAATAAGTGAAAAGAAGATAAATAATGCCACTTTCAGAAGAAATTCTTGGAGTGGACTGTCATTCAATAATGTTGTTGAAATGGTCAAAACAGTCTTTATGATTTTTATGTTTTGTGGTTTATTTAATCACCATACGTGCTGACGGTCTGGTACTGGATTGCACGAATTAAAGGTACAGACGACTCCAGGGTCTCGCCTCTTTGCTTTCAACTTTGCCTTCTACTCCTTTTTTTTTTTTCTTTCTCCAGAATCTCTTCTCTAGCTTTTGGGTCTGATAACATGATTTTAGCCGATCAGCTTACTCAAGATTCATCTACCAAAAGGTTTATTTTGCTATATCAAAACATAAATTGATTGAATTTATAATTCCACGTGTACACATCACCTGAAGGAAAAAGGTGACCATACATCACTCATGAAAATACGGAAATTACAAATGGACACTACCTTCTATGATCGATGTCTTCCGAGATCAAATCAAATCCTAAACTAGCCGGTGGCGGTGGGTACCAACATGTACATCATCTGTATTCTCTGACTGCAGCTAACACCTGATTTCACGGTTTATTGATCTCTCTTTCCGGCTTCTGGCCCGGAAGGATCGAAACAGGTACAAACGGTAGTAGAGCCAGCATTTTATGATATAATATAGACACGTTTTGTTTTATTGAACTGCTCAGGGGATAAATTGACGATAAAAAATCAGTTGAAGTAGGCGAGGTCGTCATCAAGTGTGAAACTTGTATCAAAATCCACTTGATCGATCGAGAAATCATGATCACCAAACGGGGAACTGCTGATGACTGAAGTTGGAGTTGATATCATGTCAGTGAGATCAGACTCTGAGGTCTGCAGGATGTTGTCGATACCGAAGTTGTTGTCCATTTGGCATGATGATGAGAAGTAGTTGGACTCGGACGTTGTCGGAGATAAAAATGTAGGCGAACTGCCGCCCATCATGTCACAATCCTTCATTACATCGGAGAAGAACTGGCTCTCTAGAATGTCTGATTCCACTCCTTTAAAAGAGAAGGAAAATGAGCGGAAAATCTCTTCTTTAGTTTTCGAGACCTCCGTTTCAACTTTTAGGCCTTGTCCAAGATGTTGCGGCGTCTGTTCTGCTCCCAATTGATTACCCCCTCCTCTTTCTAGTGAACGAGCTTTCTTTGGTTTACGCATTTCCTTTCCATCTGAACGTATTGCTGAGCCTGAATTGGCGGCTTGAATGCAACTATGCCTTCCTATATAGGTTACCTCAAAGACGGCCGGATCCTCGTCCGACCTCTGGACTTGCTTGGTTGCCAAACAGCCTCTCGAGTTTCGATGAGTGCATCGATAATATGCCCTGCAATTGCAATACCTCCTCCTGTTAGTCTAGTCACACACACACTCTGATCCAGTAATATTTAAGCTCACACATTATTGAAGCACGGAGCCAAGAGATTCATTCAAGTTCAATTGAGACCATTGATAGACGGCCGGCATAATTCAGACAACCCAGGAAAGTCAATTTTCATAGACAGTATGGGCTCATCATTTAATGTTCAGGAGTTACTTTGCCTGGTTACTGACTGTATCTCTATGTATAATCCATGGGACCATACCATCTACTAGTGAATTAAGCCACTTGAGAGTAACAAGTTGTTGGCCATAATATAAATGCTCCACCCGAATTCTAGATAAGCTTCAGTACATCAGTCCATGGTACATTACGGTTAGGAAGATGTAAAACAGATGAATTCATTCGAGTACTGTTATTTATTGGTTTTGCAAACCAGTCGGCAGAAAATATGTATATCTATTTGTTCCACTATTATTTAAGTAGTACTACTATTAGTTTTGCAAATCAGGTCACAATCCTGCATCCAATTATGAACAGTTCTTGAAGCGGCTGTGCCTGATCCCTTTCAATCCTAACCGTCTAAAATATGCACACAATTTTAACCTTTAATTGTTACTGCTCCATTAGTCATCCATGGATTTGCTTCTGCCCAAAAGGGATATATATATATGTATAGTAACAAGGATGTCCCTACCTACCTACGGAGGGGGAGGGAGTATTTGTGGTTTTTGTCACTCCCAGGCAATTGTGCAGTTCATGATGTCATAGCACAACCAAGTAGTCTGGTCTAGAATTAATGCACAAGTGAAAGAGAGAAGGCCACTTTTCGGATAAGACAGACTGACCGTATGAGGTTGCTGCTGCTTACCTTGGAAAATTAGCCCCTAAAATATCTTTCTGCCCATATTTTCTCCAGCTGTGTCCATCATCAACGTGACCTTCAAGACCACTTGCAGAGCAAACGCGAACGTTGTCACTCCACTTTGGCAATGTCTTTCTGCAGACGAACATAAGAAAACTGAGATCGCTATCGAATTCAAAATTTAATGAAAGAATCAAGAAAACAGAGAATTACTGGAGCACAGTTGGGGGCTTGAAATGTTTACCTCTTCCTGGATGCATCTTTGTTGCATTCTTGATCCTTTGAGAAACCACTGGAATTTGAGCCCTCAGTTATTGGGGTAGTGAGAACAGGGGAATGAAATGGAGGAGATTCCTTTCTGCCGGTTTCTGGCAAAGTCTCTACTTCCTTTAAGACCCTCCAAGTTAACATGGCTAGTGCTTTATCATATGTAGAAACTATCTTCTCAACCAATGCTTCGCAAGTCGCCGGAGATGTTACCGGATCAAGTTGTTTCCTGAGTTCATTTGCCATCTCCCTACCCTGACTTAGCTCAATTATTAGATTCTTTTGGTCGCTCGGATTAACTTTTTCCATGTTTGGATTTTCACAACCACTGGACAGGCCTATGGTTCTGATTTGGGACAAAAGCTGAAAAATGGATTTGAGCTGGAGTTCAGAAAGCGATAAGCTTGAGGAGCGGTTCAGATGGCAAATGGAGAACACATCACTAGTTTAACTAATACTACTGGAAGGACAAACATGACAGTTTGAGATGGATAGCAGGATATGCCCAATGGACAGGAGCAGATAGAAGTTGCAGCCTAATTTCTCAGTTTGAAGAAAGTGGTCTATTTAGTGGCGTAAAGTGCTGGGAAAAGAGGAGATATAAAGAAGAAGAAAAGTAGTGGGAAAGGGGGTGGTGCTTGACTGAGGGGAAGGAAGCTTGAAATTTTCTCGTATATAGTTGCTCTGGCAGCTAAACGGGTTGGGGGGTGGGTTGGGGGGGTTAAAGAACAAAAATTGATAGGCATTTAGGCAGTACACGTTTGATTGTTTGAAGTGAAATCCTAGGGTGAATTCCCGTAAAACTTGCATAGAATATGTTAGGCGGTCCATATTGTACTTAACTAGTAACTCTTGCATTTTACGTGAGGAGGAAATTCATACATTTTCATCTTAAATTCACATATAAAACATTTTCATATAAGTGATCGACATTAATTGTACAAATCATCAATGCATCAAGGGTATAGGTTTGGAATGTTAGCATATTTTGCTCTAGCAATATCAGCAATTTTGTTTTCATACTCAGTCTGCAATGAAATATTTCTCTCATCATAAAAAAAATGAGAGTGTCAATAACATCTATCGAATCATGTTATATTTGCACTTGTAATAAGGGCAGCATCTAAAGTCTAAAATGATTGGAAGATCTTCCCTCCATTCACACATTCCTCTATCTAATCAACTTGGATTTGGGAGAGAGACCGATTATCGCCATTAGGATTTGGGTGAATACAACTAACATCGCCGCAAACAATAAAAAAGAAAAAAATTAAGTATATGTAGTTAATTAATCTATTAACCTTAAACTAGTCTATCATTATATACATTGCTATCTCTATTCTTAGGATGAACCTTGTCATCATAGGATTCTACCCTATCGTAAACTTTCATATATAGTTGTATACTACTCCCTCCATCCCAACTATTTTATCATGTTTCGTGAATTTAACCTTTTAAAATAGTGGTTTTGATTGTGTTGTTTATACTTTTCTTTTCAATTTTAATCCCACAAATTCAATTTTTAAATTTAAATGGTAGCATATATATGATTAAAGGGAGAAACTAAAAAATGTTTTGACTTTTTTAATATGACAAATATTTGGGAACATCTCAAAATACAAAATAAATACTTTCAACGAGACGTAGGGAGTACTAAATATATGCAAGGAGGACAGCCTCTCGTTAGATAGATTTTCTCTCTAAATTACGACAACATCCCACATACTTTGAAAGCAATTTAACCAACATTTGACGGTATATAGTTAATAGCCAAAAAATGTTAGTGTGTTTGGATAGAGCAGTATTATTTGAAATGATTACTGTGGTACTTTTTGTATTATTGTTTGGGATAATTTGGCAATCCTTGAAAATTGACTGAGAACGTGATGTATATACTTTTTACCAATCACGTTGAGAGGAGGATTTAATTACACAAATTGATCCAAAATTCAATTGCTGACCAATTCAAACGGGCCACATAGAAACCGGGGGGCCACGAATCGCTTTCAATAATAATATTATGTTACCCTTTTTTGATATCTCCTCACGTCCAATATCCAAGAGGGAAATTTCAATGAAATGAAGAAAATCGTGGAAATGCACCACAGGAGAGCAAGAGCTAATGGAAATTTTCAATCCAGTTGTGAAGAAAACTAGAAAAAGGAGATGGCATTCAAAAAAGTTGAAAGTCAAAGATGAAAGCTTAAGAGAGGGAGCCCGCCGCGGCCGGGGGGGGGGGGGGGGGTGGGGGGCGTGGTGCCACGATGGGGTGGGGTGACTGGGGAAGCTACAGCGAGGAGTGCAGGCCAAGGAAAGGATGACGAGAGATCCGAGAATCTTCTCACTCGCTTCCGCGTTGATGCCCCAATTTTTTATTATTATTATTTTCATTAGTTAATTGTT